ATGCATTCGACAAAGCTTATTGAATCAAATGAAAGTCAAACACATTTAAATAAAGCTTTTGAATCAAATTAAGGTCAAATGCTTTCAACAATGTTAATTGAATCAAATGAAAGTCAAACACTTTCAAATTAAGTTTTTTAAATCATATGAATGTGAAATGCAAACTACAAAGCTAATTGAATCAAATGAAAGTAGAAGACATTCAAATAAAAATTTTATTCAAATTAAAGTAAAATGCATTCAACAATGATAATTGAATCAAATAAAAGTCAAACATTTTCAAACAAAGCTTTTTGAATACAATAAAATCAAATTCATTCAACAAAGCTAATTGAATGAAATGAAAGTTAAACACATTCAAACATAGTTTTTTGAATCAAATGAGAGTCAAACACATTCAAACAAAGCTATATAAATCAAAAGAAAGTAAAATGCAATCTACAAAGATAATTGAATCAAATGAAAGTCACACACATTCAAACAAAGCATTTTTACTCAAATGAATATCAAACACAATCAAAACAAGCTTTTTAAATCAAATGAAGTGAAATGCATTTTACAAAGCTAATTGATCCAAATGATAGTCAGACACATTCGAACAAAGATTTTAGAATTAAATGAAAGTCAAATGCACTCAACAAAGCTAATTGAATCAAATGAAAGTCAAACACATTCAAATAAAGCTTTTGAATCAAATTAAAGTCAAATACATTCAACAATGCTAATTGAATCAAATGAAAGTCAAACACATTCAAACAAAGCTTTTTAAATCAAATGAAAGTCAAACACATTCAAACAAAGATTTTTAAATAAAATGAGAGTCAAACAAATTTAAACAAAGCTATTTCAATCAAATCAAAGTCTAATGCATTATACAAAGGTAATTGAATCAAATGAAAGTGAAACATATTTAAACAAAGATTTTTGAATCAAATGAAAGTCAAATGCATTCAACAAAGCTTATTGAATCAAATGAAAGAAAAACACATTCAAATAAAGCTTTTGAATCAAATAAAAGTCAAATGCATTCAACAATGCTAATTGAATCAAATGAAAGTCAAACACATTCAAACAAAGATTTTTGAATCAAATAAGAGTAAAACACATTTCAACAAAGCTATTTGAATCGAATGAAAATCAAATGCATTCAACAAAACTAATTAAATCAAATGAAAGTCAAACACATTCAAATAAAGCTTTTGAATCAAATTAAGGTCAAATGCATTCAACAATGCTAATTGAATCAAATTTAAGTCAAACACATGAAAACAAAGGTTTTTGAATCAAATGAAAATCAAACACATTTAAACAAAGCTATTTGAATCAAATGAAAGTCAAATGCATTCAACAAAGTTAATTGAATCAAATGAAAGTCAAACACATTCAAATAAAGCTTTTGAATCAAATTAAGGTCAAATGCATTCAACAATGTTAATTGAATCAAATGAAAGTCAAACACTTTCAAAATAAGGTTTTTAAATCATATGAATGTGAAATGCAAACTACAAAGCTAATTGAATCAAATGAATGTCAAAGACATTCAAATAAAGATTTTTAATCAAATTAAAGTCAAATGCATTCAACAATGCTAATTGAATCAAATTTAAGTCAAACACATGAAAACAAAGATTTTTGAATCAAATAAGAGTCAAACACATTTAAACAAAGCTATTTGAATCGAATGAAAGTCAAATGCATTCAACAAAGCTAATTAAATCAAATGAAAGTCAAACACATTCAAATAAAGCTTTTGAATCAAATAAAGGTCAAATCCATTCAACAATGCTAATTGAATCAAATGAAAGTCAAACACTTTGAAATTAGCTTTTTAAATCAAATAAATGTGAAATGCAAACTAGGAAGCTAATTGAATCAAATGACAGTCAAACACATTCAAATAAAGATTTGTAATCAAATTAAAGTCAAATGCATTCAACAATGATAATTGAATCAAATGAAAGTCAAACACTTTCAAACAAAGCTGTTTGAATACAATAAAATCAAATTCATTCAACAAAGCTAATTGAATGAAATGAAAGTTAAACACATTCAAACATAGCTTTTTGAATCAAATGAAAGTCAAACACATTCAAACAAAGCTATATATATCAAATGAAAGTGAAATGCAATCTACAAAGCTAATTGAATCAAATGAAAGTCACACACATTCAAACAAAGATTTTTGAATCAAATAAAAGTCAAATGCACTCTTCAAAGCTAATTGAAACAAATGAAAGTCAAACACATTCAAATAAGGCTTTTAAATCAAATTAAAGTCAAATGTATTCAACAATTCTAATTGAATCAAATGAATGTCAAAAGCATTCAAACAATGCTTTTTGAATAAAATGAAAGTCAAACACATTCAAACAAAGATAATGAAATCTAGTGAAAGTGAAATGCAATATTCAAAGCCAATTGAATCAAATAAATGTCAAACACATTCAAAAAAAGATTTTTAAATCAAATGAGAGTCAAACAAATTTAAATAAAGCTATTTGAATCAAATCAAAGTCTAATGCATTCTACAAAGGTAATTGAATTAAATGAAAGTCAAACATATTTAAACAAAGATTTTTGAATCAAATGAAAGTCAAATGCATTCGACAAAGCTTATTGAATCAAATGAAAGTAAAACACATTTAAATAAAGCTTTTGAATCAAATTAAGATCAAATGCTTTCAACAATGTTAATTGAATCAAATGAAAGTCAAACACTTTCAAATTAAGTTTTTTAAATCATATGAATGTGAAATGCAAACTACAAAGCTAATTGAATCAAATGAAAGTCAAAGACATTCAAATAAAGATTTTTAATCAAATTAAAGTAAAATGCATTCAACAATGATAATTGAATCAAATGAAAGTCAAACACTTTCAAACAAAGCTTTTTGAATACAATAAAATCAAATTCATTCAACAAAGCTAATTGAATGAAATAAAAGTTAAACACATTCAAACATTGCTTTTTGAATCAAATGAAAGTCAAACACATTCAAACAAAGCTATATAAATCAAATGAAAGTAAAATGCAATCTACAAAGCTAATTGAATCAAATGAAAGTCACACACATTCAAACAAAGCATTTTTACTCAAATGAAAATCAAACACATTCAAAACAAGCTTTTTAAATCAAATGAAGTGAAATGCATTCTACAAAGCTAATTGAATCAAATGATATTCATACACATTCGAACAAAGATTTTTGAATTAAATGAAAGTCAAATGCACTCAACAAAGCTAATTGAATCAAATGAAAGTCAAACACATTCAAATAAAGCTTTTAAATCAAATTAAAGTCAAATACATTCAACAATGCTAATTGAATCAAATGAAAGTCAAACACATTCAAACAAAGCTTTTTGAATCAAATGAAAGTAAAAAACATTCAAACAAAGATTTTTAAATCAAATGAGAGTCAAACAAATTTAGAGAAAGCTATTTGAATCAAATCAAAGTCTAATGCATTCTACTAAGGTAATTGAATCAAATGAAAGTCAAACATATTTAAACAAAGATTTTTGAATCAAATGAAAGTCAAATGCATTCAACAAAGCTTATTGAATCAAATGAAAGAAAAACACATTCAAAAAAAGCTTTTGAATCAAATAAAACTCAAATGCATTCAACAATGCTAATTGAATTAAATGAAAGTCAAACACATTCAAACAAAGATTTTTGAATCAAAAAAGAGTCAAACACATTTCAACAAAGCTATTTGAATCGAATGAAAGTCAAATGCATTCAACAAAGCTAATTAAATTTAATGAAAGTCAAACACATTCAAATAAAGCTTTTGAATCAAATTAAGGTCAAATGCATTCAACAATGCTAATTGAATCAAATGAAAGTCAAACAGATGAAAACAAAGATTTTTGAATCAAATGAAAATCAAACACATTTAAACAAAGCTATTTGAATCAAATGAAAGTCAAATGCATTCAACAAAGCTAATTGAATCAAATGAAACTCAAACACATTCAAATAAAGCTTTTGAATCAAATTAAGGTCTAATGCATTCAACAATGCTAATTGAATCAAATGAAAGTTTAACACTTTCAAATTAAGCTTTTTAAATCATATGAATGTGAAATGCAAACTACAAAGCTAATTGAATCAAATGAAAGTCAAACACATTCAAATAATGATTTTTAATCAAATTAAAGTCAAATGCATTCAACAAAGCTAATTGAATCAAATGAAAGTCAAACACTTTCAAACAAAGCTTTTTGATACAATAAAATCAAATGCATTCAACAAAGCTAATTGAATGAAATGAAAGTTAAACACATTCAACAATAGCTTTTTGAATCAAATGAAAGTCAAACACATTCAAACAAAGCTATATAAATCAAAAGTGAAATGCAGTCTACAAAGCTAATTGAATCAAATGAAAGTCACACACATTCAAACAAAGATTTTTGAATCAAATGAAAGTCAAATGCACTCTTCAAAGCTAATTGAATCAAATGAAAGGCAAACACATTCAAATAAGGCTTTTAATTCAAATTAAAGTCAAATGCATTCAACAATGCTAATTGAATCAAATGAATGTCAAACACATTCAAACAAAGCTATTTAAATCAAATGAAAGTGAAATGCAATCTACAAAGCTAATTGAATCAAATGAAAATCAAACACATTCAAAAAAAGGTTTCACTACTACATTTTTGATCTATTGCAACCTCCAAATCCGTTGCATTAGGCGTCAAAATTCGTGGCATTAGGCCTAATGCAACGACCATGTATTGTGGCATATGCTGGCGTTGTAGTAGGTCTAATGCAACGGCATATGACACCTAATGCCACGGCTCCACTGATCTGTGGCAATAGACCAATACCTATTGCAACGGCATAACTTATCCGTGGCAATAGAGTACTGACTAATAATTATGATGAAATTGAACCTATTGCAACGGATGAAGCTAATTAATACAATGATAGGATTACGTATAGTATCTACTGCAATGGATTGATCATTGGGGCTTTTTTTTTTTTTTTGGGATGGAATGGTAATATAATATTAATTAGTCGGTACAAATCTAAATATACTAACATAAACAAATTAAAGTATCATTTATATATAATAATTATAATGCAAAATACGTACATTACAAATATTACTCGCCTATTTTTGGTATGACATACTGTTACTAATAATAAACAAAAGTTAGATAATTAATTTGATCGTCCAAAATACAAATTGTCAACATATATATAAGCCAAAATATCCAAATCTTCACAAAACCGGAACTTGAATAAGAGTCGCCAACATATATGCACCATTCGTTAGATGGCTAGTCACTATACTTCCGCTCCATTTGACTCCCCATGCACCTACACGTAAAATTGAAAAAAATAAAAGAAATATAATTAAACTAAATTATAAATTATAATAGACCAAGGCCACAATCAACATAGCTCAGATTATGGTTGTTTAAAAGATGGCAGCAAAGAAAATTTTTTTTTACACAGAAAGGAAAATATTATTAATTTATAGTGGCAGTAGCCACATTAATTACCAAAAGATAAGCATTCCAAGTCTGAAAAACAAAATAGCACCCCGGAATATAACAAAGTACTAACTAAATAACCAACAAGAAATAGAACTAAGTAGTAGTCAAAGGTATTCTGGAATCAAAAGCACCAGATCCATGCACTGTAGGTGAACTAATTAAGTTGCCACCATTATTTTATACCAAGAATTTCCTTATCATTCTTCTCCCATAAAAAAAAAAAAAGAAAAAAAAATCAAAACGGTGCAGAAAATTAATGCCCCCGTACATTGCTTAAATTTTTTTTATACTGCACCTGATTATGACCAAAAACAATAACAGGGACAACCAAGCTAACCCACCCCCCCCCCCCCCAAATAGCCTATGTTTAAGACTCTGAGGAACAATGTCCATGAAAACGAGTCTAGTGCCTCTCCATTAGCACAGCACAAGGACACACATAAGGAGTCATGTGTATTGAATAGACAACATGCAGAATGAGAATATTCTATTACTACCCAGATGTAATAATATATACATTTACATTAAAGTATCAGGAATATCTGCTAATGTTAAATTTACAATTTTGTAATGTAGGATGAGCACAATAGAAATACCTAGAATTGCCCCTGTAATATTTTACTCTATCGCTTCCTTTATATATTGGTAAAACAATATTAATTGTCATTAATGACAATGAGTGTATGAAGCTTAAAAAACTGTAGAATCCTTCAAATGCCATATATTTTTTTTTTTATTATAGACCTATTGAGTTATTGTAGTTTATGTCTACACATGGTGGGGAAAAAAATGAGTATCTTCTGTCCACCCACTAGAATTTCCTTAATTTCCTATAAAAAAAACCAAACAGGATGAACCAGAAATTAGTTCTTATTCTCCATGAATGTATTTTTTGAGTTTTACACCTGTCTCTTTTAACATGATTAGTCCAAATTCCAGAGTTGTCACTTGTGTCCTGTAATTTTTTTCTTTCATCTTTCCCCATACTCTTTCCTTCACACTTACTTTGTATATTATAGTGGTTTGGAAAAGATGCAAGCAAACTGAATCCAGGTGCTTTAACATACAATTACCTGAGGCGATGAGCGCCAAAGCGATCTGCAAAATGCTGTAATTCTGATATCGTTACAGGATTGAAACCAGCAGCAGAAGCACGGGAGCAAGCTGTAGTCAAGTCTTCCTTAACTGCTGCAAGCCGCACATCAATGGCTCTCAGTAGCTCCTTCCTGAGAAATCAGAAAGAACAAAATCATTACATTAAATAAAGGGAGGAGGAGAAAGCAAGACCCTTCCTTTCCATAGCATCATCTTCAAGCATGAAAGACCTAGTAACCTCTAGCAATTACCCAACTTATACATCCTATCATACCAGTGTTTGCAGTCAGATCAAGAAGCCTGAAATGAAATTATAATACAACATTTTCCACTATCCATTTTTCTATCACCTAAGAAAGCAGGTTCTTAGAAAGAGCGAAAACTCAAATGTGTTGATCAAGAAGGCTATGTAATTTCACAGAGATTGTACTCAACATCCACAGAAAGAAGCAAACCAAATAGAAATTTTACTTTGTGGCATCGGATGCCGTAGAAGCTCCAGTTCCATCCCCACCTGGTACATCAAAAAATCCAGTTATTAGAGAAATTTGCCAATCATATTTCAAAAAGGTGGAAATAGGAAAAAGTTGAGGGTTAGGAATTGGATATAAAAGGAGCAGAAGTAAATAACCTGAAGAACTAGCTATCAAGTTTGTATGCTCCTTTCCAACTCCCACTCATAAAAAAATCCTTCTAAACCGAAAAATCCCGTGCCACTACTTCCTATGGGATGTCATTAGTAGTCAAGGTGTTCTCAAAGACCGAGGTAATAAAAGTCAAATAATGTATGATGAACTAAAAGTCTAAAACTATTTATATCAGACATATGAATAGCCAGTATTCTATAAAGTTCACAAGAAGAAAAAATATTTTACTAGCCATTCTTCATAAATATTCTGAACAAATTTTATCACAAAAAAATTATATGATGAGGAAACAAAAACCTCTAGTCTTATTTTAATATAACAAGAACAAAATGGATGAAAGAAACAACAAATCAAAGCACAATGCTATCTGTTGACTAGCTAATCATTTAATCCTAGTTATCAATTTGAGCAAACTGATAATATGGTAAGAATAAGCAAATATTGTAGTAACATGTGGACAGAACAATACAACATAGTATAGACTATATACAACCACTATCATATATTATAATATAACAAAAGTGAACCTGTTTGAATTGGCATATCTGGACTTACTGCAGGCATCCTCAAATTGCGATTGCCAATAAAACTGAGAATAAGAAGCAAATATATTTAGCAGAAAAGATGATTTTAAATCACCTCAATAATAAAGGATAAATTTAAGACATGAGAAAGAGAGGAGAAAATTGATGACCTTCTTGGATTGGTGAATTTTGAGAAAGATCCATTGAGAGGAACATCTCCTGTTAACTGGTTGAATGACAAATCACTATAAGAAAGTTATATACCTCTTGTAACTAATCCTACTAAAATTTTGTGACTTAGTGTATTGTTTTATAGTAATGAAAGAGAAAATCAACACTCACAGGGTATTCAAGCTTGATATGGCAGTCAATGACCGGGGTGTTTCGCCTGACAAACTGTTGTTATTTAACTGCCTATCATTGTAGAACATTCATACCACAGAGTGTTATTCGACGTTACTAAAAAAAAGGCAAGAAAAGAACATTTCAACAATTAAAAGACATTTCTAAAGAAAGATATAAACAAAATGCCAAGTAGAAGCACAAGGCTAATATGAGAAAATATGAGAATGAATATAAAAGGAAAACCAGAACAAACAAGGCTAATGTGAAAAAAATACAAAAGAATTGACAGCACATTTTAATGCCCACCACTAGGTGGCTAGGTGAGTTGTCGTGCAAACACTGGTGGTTCTGTTTTTTGGTTGTTCTGTATACTACATTACAGTAGCTTTCAGCTTACCTAAATTTGAAGGCAGGGTTGCTATACTAATGACAATAGTACTCCCTCGGTTCGAAAATAATAGTGATGTACACTATGTTGGCTGTTTAGAAATTAGAATTTTAGGGTAGGTTGTGTCGCACTTCCTTAAATTAGGAATAAATTATGCATGTTTTTACTAACGTAATATTTACAAAAACTGACAACTAATTGAGGATGGGAATGAGACAACTAGTCGACGACTATTTTCATGGGTATGCTAGTGAAATCATGGCAAGTTCTTAGTATGAGGCTGGGTAATTACTACAGTAACATAATTATTTTTGGGCAGAAGTAGTAGCTTAGAAATGAAAGTTTGCCAGGTAGTTTTGTATAACCTGATGTGCTTATGTTAGACTTCAGATGCCATAATCTCTGGCAAAAAAGTTGTAGAACTTTGCTGTCATGTTTATCTTGTCATACTTTGAAGACCATCTTATTTGCAGTGGGAAAGAAACTCCCTTCTTTAGTAGAATCTGTTACTTTCTGTGGCGTCCAAACATATCATCTTCTTTACAAAGAAGAATGCCTTATTGTTCACTCATTTCTTATCCTAACAGTTACTCAAACTTCAAACGTATGTCAGACAATTGATTCTGCTTCTTGTATAGAGTTAACTTATTTCTTGGTTTCTAATTCTCAATCATCTAAGTACATCTAGTCAAATGTTTTTCTATGTTCCCAAAACTGAATCATGTACTAGATGTCTACGTCGTGTTTGTCTAACAAGGTACGCATTGAACAAGGGATGTATCTATCAAATAGTCCTTCATGAACTAAACTACATCTAGCTTTTGATTAAGGAAAGGAGGGTATGATAGACTCCTAATTTCAATGATTAAATCTCAGAATAATTTGTTTTTAGCTTCTTTCACCTTCTATCAAATTAATAATCTTACACTTGGCCCACGACTTATCAGTTGGTTAACAGATTGAGTTGTATACACATGCAATTATGAAAAAACAAATTTCGGCCACCAATTATCAAAAATAAATAGTTAGAAACTTGGATCACTAAAGTTTTACCCCATGAACCAAATCAGCCACCCCAAATAAATATATCTTCTTATCCATTTATATGAAATTCCCCCCAAAAAACCCCATTAGACTACTCAAATAAAATATTCAGTACTTCTAGGTTTAATTTCAAAAATAAAAAAATAAAAATCTCAATTTTTCTAAACGAAACCCATTAGCCGTTTAATTCCAAGAGTTACCAAAGCATAAACTTCATCTTCCATGGCATCAAATACAAATTCCCAAACACAAAAGCAAAAACTTCAAATTTAATTCTCAAAAACGAAAATTCGTTGTTTACCTTGAAGAGAATTTCGAGCAATTAGCTCAAGGAAGGGACATGCAACAATGTACCGCTTGACTGCCGCCACCACCTCCTATCTGCCGCTATCAGCCACCACCTTCGTCTTTTTCCTCTTCGAATTTTTGACTGATTTTTTTTCGTGATTTTCTGAGAATAGGTACAGTAAATTTCTGGAGTTGAATGTGAGATGATGGGGAAAATGGAGAATTGGGGGAAATTGAGAAAATGGAGTCTGAGAATGAGTGGAGAACGAAAATGGGTGAGAAAATTGGGGTAAACATACATCACGTGTGTCTGTTCAAAATTTTAGTGAAAAAATTAGAGGGAACAATAATGCGCGCTTTATCTAAGCTAAAATTTTCATTTGATACAATACCACCGTTGCAATAGCTTTTATTTTTGTTAAAATATCTAGGCTATTGCAACGGTTCTTTAAAGCCGTGGCAATAGCCTACTCTATTGCAACGGCAATAAAAACACCGTTGCAATAGGCTATCTATTGCCACGACATTTGGATAGGGCGTTGCAATAGCTTATTTTGGGGCGTTGTATTTGATCGAAAATGTAGTAGTGTTTTTAACTCAAATGAAAGTCTAATAGATTCAAACAAAGCTTTTTGAATCAAATGAAAGTCAAATACATTCTACAAAGCTAATTGAATCAAATGATAGTCAAACACATTCGAACAAAGATTTTTGAATCAAATGAAAGTCAAATGCACTCTTCAAAGCTAATTGAATCAAATGAAAGTCAAACACATTTAAATAAGGCTTTTAAATCAAATTAAAGTTAAATGCATTCAACAATTCTAATTGAATCAAATGAATGTCAAAAACATTCAAACAAAGCTTTTTGAATCAAATGAAAGTCAAAACACATTCAAACAAAGATAATTAAATCTAGTGAAAGTGAAATGCAATATTCAAAGCTAATTGAATCAAATGAAAGTCAAACACATTCAAAAAATGATTTTTAAATCAAATGAGAGTCAAACAAATTTAAATAAAGCTATTTGAATCAAATCAAAGTCTAATGCAATCTACAAAGGTAATTGAATCAAATGAAAGTCAAACATATTTAAACAAAGATTTTTGAATCAAATGAAAGTCAAATGCATTCAACAAAGTTCATTAAATCAAATGAAAGTCAAACACATTCAAATAAAGCTTTTGAATCAAATTAAGGTCAAATGCATTCAACATTTTTAATTGAATCAAATGAAAGTTAAACACATTTAAACAAAGCTATTTGAATTCAATGAAAGTCAAATGCATTCAACAAAGCTAATTGAATAAAATGAAAGTCAAACACATTTAAATAAAGCTTTTGAATCAAATTAAGGTCAAATGCATTCAACAACGCTAATTGAATCAAATGAAAGTCAAACACATTCAAATAAGGCTTTTGAATCAATTTAAAGTCAAATGCATTCAACAGTGCTAATTGAATCAAATGAATGTCAAACACATTCAAACAAAGCTATTTAAATCAAATGAAAGTGAAATGCAATCTACCAAGCTAATTGAATCAAATGCAAGTCAAACACATTCAAAAAAAGCTTTTTAACTTAGATGAAAGTCCAATAGATTCAAACAAAGCTTTTTGAATCAAATGAAAGTCAAATACATTCTACAAAGCTAATTGAATCAAATGATAGTCACACACATTCGAACAAAGTTTTTTGAATCAAATGAAAGTCAAATGCACTCTTCAAAGCTAATTGAATCAAATGAAAGTCAAACACATTCAAATAAGGCGTTTAAATCAAATTAAAGTCAAATGCATTCAACAATTCTAATTGAATCAAATGAATGTCAAACACATTCAAACAAAGCTTTTTGAATCAAATGAAAGTCAAACACATTTAAACAAAGATAATTAAATCTAGTGAAAGTGAAATGCAATATTCAAAGCTAATTGAATCAAATGAAAGTCAAACACATTCAAAAAAAGATTTTTAAATCAAAAGAGAGTCAAACAAATTTAAACAAAGCTATTTGAATCAAATTAAGGTCAAATGCATTCGACAAAGGTAATTAAATCAAATGAAAGTCAAACACATTTAAACAAAGCTATTTGAATTAAATGAAAGTGAAATGCATTCAACAAAGCAAATTGAATCAAATGAAATTCAAACACATTTAAATAAAGCTATTGAATCAAATTAAGGTCAAATGCCTTTAACAATGCAAATTGAATCAAATGAAAGTCATACACATTCAAATAAGACTTTTGAATCAAATTAAAGTTAAATGCATTCAATAATGCTAATTGAATCAAATGAAAATCTAACACGTTTAAATAAAGCTTTTGAATCAAATTAAGGTCAAATGAATTCAACAATGCTAATTGAATCAAATGAAAGTAAAACAAATTCAAATAAGGCTTTTGAATCAAATTAAAGTCAAATGCATTCAACAATGCTAATTGAATCAAATGAATGTCAAACACATTCAAACAAAGCTATTTAAATCAAATGAAAGTGAAATCCAATCTACAAAGCTAATTAAATCAAATGAAAGTCAAACACATTCAAAAAAAGCTTTTTAACTCAAATGAAAGTCTAATAGATTCAAATAAAGCTTTTTTAATCAAATGAAAGTCAAATACATTATACAAAACTAATGGAATCAAATGATAGTCAGACACTTTCGAACAAAGATTTTTGATTCAAATGAAAGTCAAATGCACTAGTCAAAGCTAATTGAATCAAATGAAAGTCAAACACATTCAAACAAAGCTTTTTGAATCAAATGAAAGTTAAACACATTCAAACAAAGCTATTTAAATCAAATGAAAGTGAAATTTAATCTACAAAGCTAATTGAATCACATGAAAGTCAAACACATTTAAACAAAGCTATTTGAATCAAATCAAAGTCAAATGCATTCAACAAAGCTAATTGAATCAAATGAAAGTCAAACACATTTAAATAAAGCTTTTGAATCAAATTAAGGTCAAATGCATTCAACAATGCTAATTAAATCAAATAAAAGTCAAACACATTCAAATAAGGCTTTTAAATCAGTTTAAAGTCAAATGCATTCAACAATGCTAATTGAATCAAATGAATGTCAAACACATTCAAACAAAGCTATTTTAATTAAATGAAAGTGAAATGCAATCTACAAAGCTAGTTAAATAATATGAAAGTTAAACACATTCTAACGAAGCTTTTTAACTCAAATGAAAGTCCAATACATTCAAACAAAGCTTTTTGAATCGAATGAAAGTCAAATACATTCTAAAAAGCTAATTGAATCAAATGATAGTTAGACACATTCGAACAAAGATTTTTGAATCAAATGAAAGTCAAATGCACTCTTCAAAGCTAATTAAATCAAATGAAAGTTAAACACATTCAAAAAATGATTTTAAATCAAATTAAAGTCAAATGCATTCAACAATTCTAATTGAATCGAATGAATGTCAAACACATTCAAACAAAGCTTTTTGAATCAAATGAATGTCAAACTCATTCAAACAAAGATAATCAAACATAGTGAAAGTG